AAAAAAAAAAAAAAAAAAAAAAAAAAAAGTCACTGAATAACAGTGGATAACTTAGAAAACCAAACTCCCTGAAAGTCCAAAGATAGGAGCAACCAAAGCACAGCCAAAAAGAAACAAATAACCAAATATCTGCATATCCATAAAAGAATCTGACCTTGTAGTTCAAAAGATTTCCCAACAGGGTATGGATACAGATGGCCTCTCTGGTAAAAGTAACTAGGCTTTTAAGTCAGAAATAATTTCCGGTTCTTCACAAAGTCTACCAATTAATAGATGAGTCGGGAAAGTTCCTAACGCTGGTACCAAGTCACACAAGGATAAGCTAGGAAAACAGCTGACCGGAACCCGTGTGAGCAGAAAGAAGTGAGGGGTGAACTTGTGTGTAAACCTAGACTTGGCTGCTGTGCAGGCAAAGCTCTCTCACCTTGCGGGCTGTCCCTGGGTTCTGCCAGAGCCCCTGCTCCACCAGAGGTTGCTCCTTCGGGGACCTCACACCCTCCTGTCCCAGCACCGGTTTACCCACCACAGTAACTCTGCACACAACAGTGAGTCATTCCCAATTTATTTTAGAGCAAGAGGAGAAAAATTTTTTTTGCATGAGAGAAGGGCAGGCTGCATTTTCTTGTGGATTTTGTGCAAGATGGGGCTAAGGAAAAGCAAGGACCGGAAAAATCTAAGGGCACAGGTACAGTATCCTTGGAGCTCACAAGTGCAATTGTATCACTTTTTGAAACAACAACAACCCAAAGACAAGGGCAAATTTCCAGTGCTTTTGGTGGTAAAGCTTTAGAATAGTCATACACTCCGGTTCCTCACCCTTGAGGTTGGGGATGGTAACTTCCCTTTTTCATTAGTTGGAATTTGAAGAAGTGGATGACAGGCTGGTGTCGGACACACCCCCTCCCGCTGGGTGGCCTCCCCTCCTGAAGGCGCAGAGCAAGGGCAGCAAGAGCCCTGCGGGAGGACAGAGAACCCCTGGAAATAAGCACCCCCACTGTGGGCAGACCGAGGCGGGGTCTCAGGAGGGGAATGCGCCTCCCCTCCCTGTCAAGTCTGTGTCACCTAGGACTTTGGACTTCTGGGGATTTGGGATGTGACAGCAGCACAGCGCAGAGGCTGAAGACCCTGCAGACTCCACCCCAGGGAAGTCAGGAGAGAAGCCAGGTGGAAATGAAACCTCAGGACCCGCGCGCTCCTGCTTCCCGCGGGGGCGGCTTCTGATGGGTCGGGCACACGGGATGCAGCAGGAGAAAACTTGGCCCCCGGCTGTTTGCCAGCTATTGATCCCAAGGGTCCAGGAGCCGGGAGAGTCCTTGTCTACTCTGCCGGACAGTCCGGGTCTCCACGGAGCCCCGACGTGCTCACCTGTTCCCGCTGCCTTGCAGCCACCGGCTGACATCCCAGGGGCCGCGTTCATCTCTGCGTCCTTCACACTTGACCTGGAGTCACTGTTCCCGAAAGATGCGGTGACTCAGAGGCGAGCGCTCTGGCCAGTTTCTGTGACAGAACGCGCCCCAGGAACTGACCCCCTGGCCCCAGCTGTCTGTTCAGTATCCGTCTCTCTCACAACGCCATTCTGGAGGGAAGAGAAGTGTCCGTGTTGGATTTATTTCTGGACACGAGTGTCCTGTGCTCAGAACCACACCTGACGGAGGGCAGGCACCGCGTGCCACAGCTAAAGGACAGCAAGGGCCCTGCTCCTGACGGAGGCCGAGTTGCCCGCCTGAGTTCCTAAATCTGGGGCATTAGTTACCATTCTCAGTCTGGCCGTGTCCCCCGACAATCCAGAGGCCCAGGCTCCGTGGAACGGGACACAGCCTGGCTGTTGGTGGCTGACCCAGTGCCCCAGGCCACCCTGGTGCCTGCCAAGATGGAGGAAGCCCTGCTCCGGCGGAGCCTCTCTCTGCCCAGTCGTGGAGATGATGATGCATCCTGCACACGGGGGCAGATGAGGGGTCGCCGCTTGCGGGGTACTGGCTCGGGGCCCACTGCGAGCTCTGGCTGGAAGCTCTGCTGAAGGATGCCGTGGCTCCCTAGACCAACCAAGAGCTTGCTGACCACTCGCGCGTGAACTGGGGGTGCAGCTCAGCGGCAGAGCACTCACCCTGCACTGCGAGGCCCTGGGTTCCACCCCAATGCCACAAAAAATAGAATGAATTAAAACCATCAGCAGCCCAAGAAGATAACCATAGGATTCCTAGGCCCATTAAAGTTTGAGAAACATCGATTTAACAACCCAACCTCCAGACTCCAGCCTCTGTCTGACCAAAACAAACTCCTCCGAATCCAGGAAAAGGCCTGGCCCCTCCCTTGCCACCACTGACTCAGAGAAGTGGGGAAGTGGGGCTGGAATCTGCTGAGCTCAGCTGCCACGAATTTTTGCCTGTGTGTGTGCGTGTGTGCGTGTGTGTGTGTGTGTGTGTGTGTGTGTGTGTGCGTGTGTTCTATTCCAGTCAGAGCACTATTAGGTCAAAATGAGGTTGAACAAAAAGCCAAAGTTATCTGGGTGTGATGGTGCCTGCCTGTGTCCCCAGCTGTCTGGGAGGCTGAGGCAGGAGTGTCACAAGTCTGAGCCCACCATAGGGAACTTAGTGACTTAGCAAGAGCCAGTCTCCAAATTAAAAAGAAAGAAAGAAGTATGTAGCTCAGTGCAAAGGCCCTGGGTTCAATCTCCAGTACCAACAAGAACAAAGATCCAAAAGAAACTGAAGAAATATTTGCATTGCCCCCTGAGCCCACTAATCGCTAGGGAGGATCCCACCCAAAGCAAAGCTTTCTGCTCTGTTCCTGCTTGAGCCTCTTGGTGGCACTGGACATCACACAGGGCACCAGAAATAAGGAGCTGAAGCACCTTGATGCCCACTGTTCCCTCGCCAACACCTTCTCGTGCCCAGGCACCTGTGCACCTGCGCCAGGCCGGCTCCCCAAAGGGCAGGCTCCCCGCCATTCCTCCATGCTGCCAACTTCTTTTCTGCCAGCACCTCCTCCAGTGCTTCTGTGTAACCTCCCAGTCCCCACAGCTGGTCCTTCGCAGTCACGGTTAGGAAGCGGCCTGAGCATCTGTATTTCCGCCAAGTCCTTTGGCCGGAGCTGATGTGTGGCCCGATGAGAGCCACTTGTAAACAATCAGAGATGGGGACCTGCGCTCTGGACAGGTGCTGTTCGGCAGAGCCATGAACAAAGGCAGTAATGAGGCAAAGTACACGCTTGTGTTACCGCTGAGTCCAGCACGAGCAGATGGTTTTTATTATTATGGTGAAATATGCCTGGCTTAAAATTTACCATCTTAACCATTTTTAAGTGTGCAGCTCCGTGGCATTAAAGCCCATCCACATAATAGAGAAACCGTCACCACCATCCTCTCCAGAATCATTTATCTTGCAAAACAGAAGCTCTGTACCCTTTAAGCACCTACTCCCAACCTGGAAACCACCACTGTACTTTCTGTTTCTGTGCATTTGGTTACTGAAGGTACCAGTCATCTGTGTAGCCACCCCCGTGGCTCATATCCCCACCTGCGCTCCACCTGCTGTTGGACCAGCAGCATGAGATTCTCCTAGGAACTTGGACCCTTTCGTGAACAGCACAGGTGAGGGAGCCAGGGTGTGCATTCCTTATGGAAATCGAATCCCAAAGCCAACTGTGGAAAAATTGTCTTCCACAAAACGGGTGCCAAAAATTTGGGGGATGGCTGCTCTGAGTACGGCATGTAAGTGGAATCTTACAGTCTTTCTCTGTCACACGTTTTGTGACTAGTTTATTTTACTTAGCAAAATACCTTTAAGATCCATCCACATTGCAACATGTGACAGAATTTTCTTTATTTTTAAGGCCGAGTAGCACTCGTTGAATATACGGGTGCTTCTTTCCTATCGATGGGTTATATCTCAGTAAACCATCATAAGTCGAAAACATTGTAACTGTTGCATTTACAACAACTCGCCTACCAGGCACCGCGGCTTCAAGGCATGGTGCTGAGACAGCGCCAAGCACTTGCTCGCGGGATTGTAGATGGGCAGGTGTGGCTCAGGACCCCTGTCCAGCAGCATGAGTGTCCTGCACATGTCACTAGCCCAGGACAAGATCAAGATTCAAAATTTCAGGTATGGCTCTTAGCGGATGAGTGTTACCTTGGCACCATGCTAAGTCGGGACTCTGTGCACAGTCCCCATTCCCCTGCATCTGTGCACCCACCTTGAGGCTTCCTGAATAGCGCTGTTATGAGCACAGGTGTACCAGCATCCGCTTGAGTGCTGCTTTTAACTCATTGATTATAGGAATCACATGGGAATTTGCTATTACATGTGAAAGTTTTTAAATTTCCTTTGGGGATTGTTCATTGTTAGTGCATTTTAAATGCCAACTCGTTCTTGCGTGCTAATTTTATATCCAGCAACTTTGCTAAATTATCTTTTATGGTAGCTACATGAAAGATCGTGTCATCTGCAAACAGAGAGCATGTTATTTCTTCTCTTCTAGCCCCAAAGATTTTTTTTTTCTTTTTGGTACTGGGGATCGAACTCTGGCCCTTGCACTTACAAGGCAGGAGGCAACACCACTGAGCTAAATCCCCGGCCCTCCAAAGACTTTTATTTCATGTTCTCACCCAATTGTCCAGGCCAGGATTCCCAGTGATGTTTTGAATAGTGGCAGTGGGTGTCCTTGTCTTGTTCCTGATCAGAAAGAGGAAAATCTTTCTGTCTTTCGTGAAAGGAAATAATTTTAATATATTCTCTTTTTTGCTTTAATTTTTATGAGTACATGTTCGGAGCACATAATGAGCACATTCCTCAGGGAAGTTGGCACGTGTGCATAACGCAACTTAATTCTTTTTCATCCCTTTCCTCTCCTCCCTCCTTCCATCTCTCCACCTCCTTCCCTTCTGCAAAAGATCTATCTTCCTGTTTCCCTTAAACTTTTATTTACATTTGGGTTTCTCCTATAAGAGACACCATGCTTTATGTGTCTGAGCTAAAGAATTTCATAAGTTTGTAAGGGAGAGAACATAACCTAATTAACAGCAAGCTGAGAAATCAGAAAGGAAAAAGAGGAGCTGAGAAACGTTTGGCAGGTGTATCATGCAGGAAAGTGCACCCGTATACTTTTAATGTTCCACAGGTCTTAAAATGGCAAGAGAAAAATGGAAAAATGAACCAAGGAATAGGAGAGACGAAAGGTCTTAATCAGCACTGACCACACTGAGTGGAATGGCTTTGCCTTTACTCTGACTCATGGCCTCCCAAGTGTTGTGGCTGTGTCTAGATGTCCCCCCAAGGCCTCGTGGGCCATAGGACTTTTTCAGAGGTGGCTGAATCTAGAGTGTGTGATGCTGGGATTAAGGGTGAGTGGTTACTAAATCAGCCCACCGATTAGTTTGCTACTGCTAATCCTGGTAGCCTGGATACAACATAAGGGGCAGAAAGGGGCTTTTTTGCTTGCTTCTTTTGCTGTCTTCTGCCTGCCATGGGACTGTTTCTCCTCTGCGATGCCAAGCTCTCTACCAAGCTATCTGGCCTTGGAGGCAGCCAGCTACAAACAGAAACCACTATAAACTGTGAGTCAAATAAACCTCTCCTCCCTTAACTTGTGGTGGTTGGGTATTTGGTCTCAGCAATGAGAAGAGCAACTGAGACACTGAGAAAACTCAACCAAGAGGATAAACTATACCAGCGACCATCGCCTCAAACCAGACACCGGGAAAAGATAGAGGGCGGGTCTGGGGGCCCCTGTGCCTCTTCCCAGCAAGGCCTCCCTCAGGGGTCCTGGCCCGCAAAGAACTGTGGCAAAGTGCTACCCTGTGCCACATCTGTTGAAAGATAGAAAGTTGGTCTAAAATTACACCAGAAGGAACTGAAACATTTCAAAAAGGCAGGGCTAGTGAGGAAGAAACCAAAAGAGGAAGATAACATCACAGTTACCAAAAAAAAAGAGGAATGGAAATCGAATCAGCTTACAAAGAAAGTCCAGAGTCTGCCCTCTCTTCCCATCCATGCCATCAAGAAAGGGGAGAGAGGGCTGGGCTGCAGGAAGCCGTTCCCAGAGAGAGAATTCTCTGCACTTTTCCAGCTGAGAATTCAAGCCTCCTGCACGGGTGCTGAGTAGGGTAATTTCTTCACTCAAGGTGTGTTTGAGCTAAAAGGGATTTTCTGTAAATCTCCCTGCCCCTTCATCTCAGAGAGGAACCCAGGGCTGAGAGGCCTCTGAAGCTCTGCGGGGTCCGAGAGCTAACTGGGGTCTGACACGAGGGGAGGAGAGTTAGCCCTGGGCTCTTTTCCTTGGGCTCTTTCGTCAAGGTGATGGATTCAGGGCACTGAACTGGCAACACTCCCTTGAGCTTTGCTCAGTAACAGGTTTCCATCTAAATCTACAGCTTTCAGAGCAGGACTAGAATTCAGAAGCGCACATTCCCAGCCACACCCCAGACCCGTGGAATCGGGATCTCTGAGGTTGCAGTCTGGTCCCCACCAGCTCAGGGGCTACTCTCTCCTGCACTGCAGTGTGAGCACCACTGATCCAGGAAATAATATACGTCCTATTCATTGTAAGAGTATGAATAATAATTAACATGCATTTCACAATTTACCCCCCCCAAAAGCTTTTGTCCTTTTTCAGGAGTGCACAGTGTCCCATGGGCATTTTTCATGGGCTCAGGAATGAAATTTAAGGAAGGGAACCGATTGCTGGCTGAGAGCTGTGGAGAGATCAGCAGAACTGCTGCTGAGTCCCCGGCCTTGGAAGCCAGCAGAGCCACAGCAAGGCGCTCCACTCCCAGGCAAAACAGCGTCAGCAGGGAGTCTGGGCAGAGCTTTCTTAGAAGCACAGAGAGCCGGGTCATGCGTGTAATTGTGCAGATGAGGAGTTACAACAGGGGCTTCCATTTTCTAAGTCTTTATGTCCTGTGGCAAGCAGGAGGCCAAGCCCTAGAGACAGAGCTGCTGCCCAGGGTCACCAGCTGGGCCCTAGCAGAGCCGGGATCTGAACTTGGCTCTCCATTCTCCAGACCAGTGGTTTTCAAGTCTCAATGTTCATCGGAATCATCTGGAAAGCTTCCTAGAACAGAACCCTCCACCCCGAGAGTTTCTGATTCTGTCAGCAGTGTGGGGCCCTTGAATTTGCATTGCCAGCAAGGTTCCAAGTCTCACTGATGCCACCCGCCTCTGGAGCTTTAGTAGCAAAGCCCATGACACCTCATCGGAAGACTAAACAACTCGATGACAAATCAGTGAGAACCAAACTTCTGAGTCTAGCAGCTCACTGCCACCCCGTCCACCTTCCCTCTGTCCACCTACACGTCCTTCCCCTTCCGTGCTTGCCCTCCTGTGGCTTCAACACAGTAACACTACAGCCCCTCCTACCTCATCTACCCAGTTTCTTTTCCTTCCATCCACCCTGCCTGCCATCTGCACTTTACCTCAAGGCTGCACATTTGCCTGATCAGAGCTCCAATCCATTAAAAATCTTCCGTTCCTCCCATTGCCTAAACTCCTGGACGAATCCTTTAAGGTCCTGCAGAGCTCCGCACGTGAACCCAGCATTCTAGCCTCCTCCCCAGGGACACCGCCTTCTCTTCTCTCTGGCTGCTGCTTCTCTCTCTCTGTCTCCCCAGACTTAACCCTTTCTAGGGACATCTCGGGTGCCCTTTCCTGCTTCCTGAAAATCCCCTTGGAGAGCTTCTGCCTCTTGAGCTCCCTGTGCACAGAAGTCTACACTTGTGGCCATCATCACACATTGCCTGGTAAGAACATTTCTCCAGTGCCACATGGCATCCTAGCATGTGCTGCGTCTTTGTCTTTCGTCAGCAGGGCCCCCGAACTCTTTAGCTCTCCGTCAGCCTTTGACAGGCAAACACACTCGTCTGTTTCTGGGCACATCTGTTCATGTCTGAAATTAACCTCCCCCTCTTCTGACCTACATTTTAAGTAATGAAGGCCATGGTGGAGCTGTTAACAAACATGGAAGGCGGGGTAGTGACCCGTCCTAAGGGCAGCCCTTACAGTGCACAACACTCAGTCGGCGACATATTACGGAAAGACCCAGATGGTCCCAGTCTCTCCCGAGCCCCAGGTAGAAAACTGGATCCCTCGGGCAGCACTTGTGAACCATGATTCCTGGTTGTCTTGGCCCTGAAGCCAAATGTGAGAGAGAAGTCTGAGCTGGTGTCCTTGCATCTGGCTGCAGAGAACCATGACCGGCGCACGGCCGCTAAGCCCGTTTGTGAATAATTCACAGCATGGAGAAACCCTTGGCTTGCTTAGTAGAATGCAGAGAGTATGGAAACCGCTATCGCTAAGACTACTGTGCCACATAAACAGCACTGGCCACAGACACAAACCTGCAAGCAGAGGGAAAACGAAACCAGTGGAAATAACCCAAGATAATAATAAATGCTGGTTTGAGGTCATGAAATTGTGGATGATTATGTTCCTCTTTATTTTTATTTCTATGGTGTTTGCTCTTTTTGCTAATAAATGCTTTTTGTTTAGATTTTAAAACTTTGTAACCAAAAAATTTCATAATTTTCACTTTCTTGAAGTACAGAAGTTATTTAACTGTAGATCACTAAAATGAAAATACGATAAACTGTTCATCCGATTTGAAACTTTGATTTTTCTTTCTAAAAGCAGATTGATCCTAGATAAGCGAAAACTGAAAAGCAAAAGCCAATACATGTGCTGCATAATTTCTGTTAAATTCTTGTTTAAGACACCTTTCAGTAAGTTCTTTTTCCATTATTCCTTTACAGTTTTACTCTTAAGTTGCTATAAAATGAAGTCCGTTAGACACTCAGAGATTCTACTGCCCAAAAGACAAATATTAGATATATGTCGCCATCTCCCCAAAATATATTTATCTTTCATAATCTATGTCATACACGTAACAAACGGGGCATTCCAAAATTTCTCAAAACAATTTTAACTTTTTATGTCTTTGAGAAAAATCCAGAATACACTGAATTTTGTTGGTCGGGAAGTACATATGTCCGATAATTGTAGTAGGCCGACTGAACAAATCTTTGTGTGACTTATGTGAATTTTTTTTCACTGAAGGTACACAGTACAGTCACACTCATCGTTGGGATCTTGTACCTTTACGTGACAGATCTTGGTTTTCATTTGTTCCCTACACCCCTGCCCTCCCTTCACCCCCTCCAACCTCCCCTATTTACAAAGACTTTGTTTCCATTTTTTCCTTTTCTCACGTTTTTTCTCTTCCCCAGGGCTTTTTCAAATTGAGGTGGATCCACATAACATGACTTAAACAATTTGACGGCATTCGATTCTCTCAGCATGGATGAACCACTGCCTGTATCTACTACCGCACGTTACCCTCGCTCCAACGTAAGGCCCCGTATTCGCTCAGCGGTTGCTCCCCATCCTTTCCTCCCCGTCTCCTAGCAACCACCTATCAGCCGTCTCCAGGGTCTTGCCTTCTCTGCTGCCCGTACAAACGTAGCGATGCAGGTGTGACCACACCTGGCTCCTTTCACTTCCTCATCTGTTCCACCGTTTTATATTAATAACAACATAACAGAGTTCCAGTTTCTCCAAATCTTTGTCTGCGCTTGTTATCTTTCTTTGTTAAAACAACACAACCATGGGGTGGGGATTTAGCTCAGTGGTTCTGCCGCCTGCCTCACAAGCACGAGGACCCGAGTTCGAATCCTGATACCAAAAACAAACAAAAACACAGCCATTCTAGCAAGTGTGAAGTTTACCTCCTTGAGGGCTTGATTGCATTTCCCAATGACTGACAAATGATAAGTGCTTTTTCCTGAACTCAGTCATTCATACTGTTGTGGCAAAGCAGAACAGCTCGGTGCCATAGCCAAGTGTTACAGCTCAGCATCAGTCGCAGCCACGGCCACAGCTCTGAGGCACAGCTGAGTGTTACAGCTCTGGGTCACAGAAGCCTCAAGAATCCAGCGGTCCCTCGAAGAGGTGGGGAAAAACCTTTATTAAGCCGGCTGGCTCAGTGGAGTTCCTAACCCATCGTCTGAGTGCTCTACCAGGAATGAGAGCCTTCTTATATAGAGATCTACAGGGTAGGCGAGCATGCTCACTGAAGAAGGGGGGCGGAGTTACAGGACATTCCAGAAAGGGGCAGGGCCAACAACATTCCTGAGAGGGCACAAAGTTCAAAACTTTTTTTTTTTTTCAAACTCAGGGCCTTTGCACTTACCAGGAAGGCGGTGGAACCACTGAGATAAATCCCCACCCACAAAACAGCAGCACAAACTGTTATATTCCTAGAACGAAACATTCTGTGGGAAAAAAATTTTTAAAAATGGAGGCAAAGCAAGGACCTGCGTTATTGTATAGTATTACTCTGTCAATATGTCTTCTTCGGAGAAGTATCTTATTAAGCCCTTTGCCCACTTTTAAACTGAGTTGTCTGTGTTCGCTGTTGCGATGTAGGCATTCTTGTACTTTGGGTGTTAGTAGGCCCTTCTCAGATATACATATTTGCTCTCATTCTATTGATTATCTTTTCACTTTATTGATGATGTCCTTTGATGAGTAAAAGTTTTAATGTTGATCTTTTTAAAATCTTGATCTTTTCCTTTGGTTGCTTATGCATTTCGTATGACATCTAAAGGATAATAGCTAAAGCAAAGATTTTGAAGGTTTACCTTTATATTTTCTTCTACAAGTTGTATCGTCTCAGCTTTCATGTTGAGGTCGTGGCTCAGTTATTGTTTATGATATGAGGAAGAGGCCCATCCTTTCACTCTTTTGCATCCTGTTATACCGGCACAAATTGCTTTGTTTTCTTTAAGGAGTGTATGTTTTCTTTTATTTACCTACATTGACACATAGTGTACAAATTTATGGGGTACAGTGTGTTATTTTGATACCTCTAAACTTTGCATCCTGAGCAAATTAACATCTCTATCACTTTTCAAACATTTGTCATTTCTTTGTAGAAAAACAGTCAAAATCTCGTAGTTGGTCAGAAATAGCTATTTGTTAGCTAGAGTCAAAACTTACTGTGCAAAACCGAGGAACGGAAGTGTCATCACAGTGCATAACTTTACTCACAAAGATCTTTAGCAGTTAAAATGGAAATGTATTTTTGTAACAGGTAGCTGGGTTTTGGCCAAACACAAGCAGCGGAGCCTTGGCAGATCCCAGGCCCGCCAGTGGATCAGACTGTGTCCAGCCCAGGCAGAGGCCTCGCCATAGCTGTTTGAGTTCTCTCCCTGATTTCTGTGCTCAACTACGTGAGCGTGCTGCCCTCGGTGCACAGCAGAGCTCTCTGAACCCCTTTCCATTCTGAGTGATGTCCTGAGTTGCTCTTTGCTCAAACTGGTAGATGTCTAAAGTCTTTCTTCTAACAGAAGAGCGCCGTTGGAACCAGAAGAACAGAACATGCAGAGAGGCGTTCTGTCTCACTGAATTAGCAGATATATATCACCCGCCTCCTTTTAGATCTTTTTTTTCCCCCCGCTGTTCCTTGTTAGAGGTTGCTGGCTTCGAATTGTTTAAAATTTTAAAAGCTTTGTGGAGTGTAGCTCAGGTACTTGGTGCAATTCCCAGTATCACCACCAACCCAAAAAACTTGAAAATTTCATAAATCAAAAATACATGGGCCGGGGATTTAGCTCAGTGGTTCCGACACCTGCCTCACAAACACAAGGTCCCAAGTTTATACCCACAAAAAAAAAAAAAAAAAAAAAAAAAAAAAAAAAAAAAAGTCAACACTGCAAATACAACAACTTTTAAAAACAAAACCTTCAGCAGCTACCACTGCCCTCGGCTGGAGTCTGATTTATAAAGTCCCTCTTAGCCAGGATGGGCGGCCCACGCCTATGATCCCCACAGGCTGTAGGCCGGCACAGTTGTCCTTCCCTTGCCCACTGGTCTTGGTGTCCATATGGAAAATCAACTGGGAATAACTGAGTGTGCTCTGGGCTTTCCGTTTGACCCACTGATCTATAAGTCTACCGTATGCTAATACCACAGTTAATTTGTTTTGAAATCAGAAAATGTGAGTACTTCAAATTTACTCTTTTTTGTTTTGTTGTTTTGTGTGGGGGGGGGTTATTTTGCTAGTCAGGACCTCTTTCAATTTCACGTGAATTTGAGGACTGTCCTTTCTATTTCTGTGAAAATGTCATTGGGATTTTGACAGGGACTGCATTGCACTGGTAAAATAACAACATTTCCATCTTAACATTTTTGAGTCTCCCAACCCATGAATATGGGCTGCCCCTCCTTTTATTTAGATCTTCTTTATTTCCCTTTAGCCATGTTTTAGAGTTTTAGAGTACAAGTCTTTCCCTGCTCTTGGTTAAGTTCTGAGGTACTTTATTAATTTTGATGCTATGTTCATGGAATTGTTTTCTGAATCTCTTCACTGGATTCTTCATTTCTGGTGTATAAAACACATCTGATTCTTGCGTGTTGGTTGTGTGCACTGCCACTTGGCTAAATTTGTTATTGACTCAGGGTTTTATGGATTGTTTTTGGATTTTCCATATAGAGGATCATTGCATCATTTGATAGAGATAATTTTGCCGGGCATGGTGGTGTACACCTGTAGCCCCAGCACTTATGAGGCTGAGACAGGAGGATTGGGGTGAGTTTGAGCCCAGCCTGGGCTACATAGCAAGACCCTGTCCCCTCAAAAAATAGAGATTTTTTTTTTAACCTGATGCCTTTTATTTCCTTTTCTTGCCTAATTGTTGTGGCTAAAACTTCCAGTAGGATGTTGAGCCACAGTGGTAAAAACAGGCATCCTTGGGCTGGGGATGTAGTTCAGTGGCACTACACCTGCCCCGCAAGGGCAAGGTCCTGAATTCGATCCCAGGTACAAAAAAAACAAACAAAAAACAAAAACAAACAAACGAAAAAACAATGACAACAACAACAAAAAACCAAGAATCCTTGTCTTATTCCTGAGCTCAGAGAAAACTCATTCAGCTTTTCTCTCACATCAGCTGTGGCATTTTGACAAATGGCCCTTGTTGTGTTCAGAAATTTTCTTTCCGTTCCCAACTTTCTGAGTATTTTTGCCATGAAAGATACTGGATCTGTTTTTGTGTCAATTGAGACGATCACATGGGGCTGGCATTTTGTTTTGCCTTCTTTCCATTAGTGTAGTGCATTACATTGGGATTTTTAAAATATTCAACTGCACTTGCATTCTCTGGATAAATCACAGCTGGTTGTGGAGCAGTGTTTCTGGTCTGCAGCTGGGTTCGGTTTGCTAGCTGCCTGGTGAGAGCTTTGATGTCTCTCTGCCTAAGGGATATCAGACTGGTTTTTTATGATAACTTTATCTGCTTTTCTACCATAGTGATATTGGGCTTTAAAGAATAAGTTAGAAAATGTTCTTTCCTCTTCTATTTTATTGCAAAGAGTTTTGGGCAGGACTTGTATTCATTCTTTTTTAAATGTTTGGCAAACTGGGCCAGGCATTTAGCTCAGTGGTTCCTCAAAAGCACAAGGGTCCAAGTTTGATCCCCAGTACCCCCCCGAAAAAATGTTTGGCAATCTTACCAGTGGAGCCATCTGCTGCAGGACTTTTGCTGTTGTTTGGGGGAGATTTTACATCACTGATATAATCTCTTTACTTTTAAAGATATTTTCAAGTGGTCTATTTCTATGCATTTCCTCCAGTTTATCTAACTTTTGGTGTATAATTATTTATAATATTTTCTTATAACTTCTTTAAATTCTGTAAAGTTGGCAGCAGTGGGCCCACTTTCCCAAGATTTTAGAGATTTGCATCTTTTCTCTGCTGTTTTTGTTTGTTGATCTTATAAGGAATCAAATTGTGCCTTCAATGTGAATTCTTTCCACAAGAGTCACACAGGCCTGGGCGGCATGGTGGACGCTTCGTCCTCCGCGTTTCTGTCTCTTTCGCCCCTGAGTGCGTGGGTTTCCTGCCAAGCCATCAGCCTTTGGCCACCTCCCGGCCGGCCGAGGTCCAGCTCCCCATCTCCGTGGCCTGCTGCCCACACCAAGTGGGGCCAGCGACATCCACCCATGGGCGCCTCTACCACACGCTGCCCTGTGGCTTTCTGCTCATACCCCTTGTCCCTGCATGAAGCGCATTTGGGGTTTCCAGCTGCTTGCTGTAGCATCTCCGCCCCTCCCTCGGAAGCCACAAGATGTGCACAAAACCCCATCTTGCAGGCTCTTGGTGACTCACAGAGCCAGGGGCAGGAATGCACTGGTGGCGCATGAGGGGTGGCCTCATCCCAGCCTGCAGGCACCATGTCCCGGGGCGTCCATAAAGGACTTGTGTGGGCTCTGTCCCTGTTCCTTCCTGAACGGGCAACCTCAGAGGCGTCTGCAGTCTCCGAACCTGGGGACCACAGCAGAACACAGGACCGTCGTCTCCCTGATGCAGGATTCGGAGCTTCCTCTTACGTTCCCGTGAGACCTTTATACTGAGTAAGTGTGGCCACACTCCTGACTTTACTTCCTTCATCCTAAAGTTTATTTTGCCAAATGTTACGAGGACGTCTGACCTGCTAAGTTAATGAAGACTTCAAGGGCCAGTCTGACTGCCCTTTTACATCAGTGATTACTCTCAGTCTGTCTTCTGGGTTCGTATGGATACCACGGTGAATTTGGAAGGGGGAGACCCACGTGTGACGCCTGCTACCTGACACCTTCTTCCTAGGACTCCTGTGAAGCAGCTGGCCTTTCTTGTGATTCCCGGGACTTTGTCACTTAGTACAAAAGCAGCAGAAACGTTTGCTTTTTGTGATTACGAAGGTATGAGCAGAACCAGGAGGAAGGGAGAATGCTTTTTCTGTAGGTATCGACTTAGTCCAGATCATGTTTAAGCAGAACTGAAGGTGTGAAATCCTAGAACTCACCAGTCTATTTTAGTAGGTCACAGGAAGCACAAAAACCATAGAAACCACAAGAAATCAGAAGCACCCCCTACGGCAAGAGGCAAGAACCTCGCTGCCTCCCTCAGGTACCGACTGACAAACCCACGCCGAAGAGCGAGGGAGCTGCGGGCATCGCCACGGTGCTCCTTATCCATATCAGTCCCCCCGGCCTCCCAGCACACGGCCGCCGTGTGTGGAGTGGCATAAAGGATCCCTGAGCAAACCCAACCTCCAGCTCGAAGGGTTTGACCTCCAGCGTGGCCGCTGACCTGCGAGGGACAATGAGCCAAGTCTCAAAGGTCCCCTGGAAGCACCTCCTGGTTCTTTTGGTACCGGGCAATGTAAACTATTTTTGTTGTGTTGGTTTGCAGAAGAGCAGGGGTCTTGCTCATCCCAGTCCCGGAGCCCTGGAGGTGATGACTGCCACTCCTGCCCAGTCACAGGGACACCAGACTGACATGCAAGGCGACACACCTTCCCCTCACACAACACACTTTCCCAACTCTCCTGGAGCATAAAGGAATTCTAAGCTGTGCTCTTCCAGGGTCCCAGCTTCCCGACTCTTGTGCGATCAGCTGAAAGGAAGGCAGCCAGCGTCAAAATCAGGAGAAAAGGGAGCACATCAGCAGGTCTGGGTCCTACACATGTAGGACAGGTCCGGTGAGCACGTGGCTCTCCAGTGAGTGGCTCGGGTGCCAGCTTGCTCAGCTTGTCCAACGAAGAGCAGAACAAGGTTAGAGGAGTAACCAGGTGGAGGAGAAGCAACTTCGGCCTCCAGGGGCGTAGGTGCTTCTGGTGTGGTTTTCCACGTAGACAGGATCTGAGGTGTCCTCAGGGTTGACTTGTTTTTCCTGGCTGAATGGAAAGTGAAAACCTTTTACCTTCATAAGATCTGTGTCCTGTTTTCGACCAACAGAGGGCAGGCAGTGAGCTTTCCCATGTCAGCTTCTTCTGAGCTGCTTTTGGCCCCACAATCCCTTCAGCAAAGAGGCCTGTGTTTGGAGTGGCGTGTTCTGGGCTTCCACAAAGCAAGGGGAACGAATCTCCCAGCTGTTCATCGCTGGACCCCTCCGCACCCTTATTTGTTCTACAATCTGCTCATCCTGCTTTAAACACTTTTGTTTTTGTTTCTGTTTTTGGTTTTTGAGACAGGGTCTTGCTACGTAGCTCAGGCTGGCCTCGAACTTGCAATGATCCTCCTGACTCAGCCTCCCAGCAACACTTTCATCCTGATACAGTGTCTTTGGAATCTTGCCCGAGTGTGTTTCCGGTGCCAGGTATGATGAGAATCCTGCTGTCCCCTGCCTGCCCGCCCCTGTCCTTGTTAAGGAACTGACGGCGATCTCAGCATGCAGACGGAAATGCCATCCTAGTCTCAGGTTGAGTCAAAGGAGCTGGTGGCAAGATTCTGGGTCAGGAGTTTAGGATGTGGTGGGGATGCTGCTCCTGGACAGGCAGAGAAAGAGGCTTCTCTTTTTGTTTTGTTTTTTTGAGACAGGGTCTCACTATGTAGTTCAGGCTGGCCTTGAACTCACTATGTAGCCGAAGCTGGCCTCAAACTCAAGCGATCCTCCTGCCTCAGCCTCCCGAGTGCTGGGATTACAGGTGCACCACCATTCCCAGTGAGAAAGCAGATTTCTCTGGAAAGCCTGTAGGGCCCTCATGGAAGGCTCAGAAACTGAGCCTTCACGGGACCCATGGTGACTTTGTATTCAGATCTGGAAAGCACAAGTGGCCACCTGCAGTCTCAGCTGCTGGGACCTCTAACGTTCCCTCAGCCTCCAGCCGCGTAGTCCGCTGTGTTCCTCACGGAGTCCTGACTGGACCCGGTGCTGTGCTCAAAGCTTGGTGTCCGTTTAACCCTCCCAGCACCCAGAAAGCTTGGGATTCATACTCTGCGGTTGGCAAAGTTGAAGCTCAGAAACTCAGCCAAAGCCATAGTGAGAGATCCTGGCCCCAGGCTCCAGGGATTCCAGAAAGTTCCAGGGCCTGGCTCGAAGGTCTGTGGGGTTTTAAGGATGTTCCCAAGTGTGAGCCCATGTGGTCGAGTTTTGTGTCTTTCCACAAAACTGCTTTCAGAGGAGCAGGACCTGGGTGACTGGGGGCATCCCATGTTCCCTTTCATTAGGAGGTTTTATCAAAGTAAACTTTCTAACCAGGTCCTGAATCCACACTAACGCAGGGTACACACGGCTTCATCTCCCCCGCCCATCTCTCCCCTGCAATCGCTTGGTTCTCGAGTTCCATCCAGCAGAGCTCTGAGGGGAGGAGGGCAGGTTGTGGAAGAGCCCAAAGACAGACACAGATAAGGAAGCCACAGTCGTTAGACTGGGGGGAGGGCCTGACTCACACTCGGGGTTGCATAAGCAAGATTTCAAAACTAATCCTGCTCTGGAGATCTCAGCCCAGCGTACAACCTTCCTGGCTGGAAAAAGAAGAACTGCATCTTTTCAATTTTTTTTTTTCACATCTTCACCATCACTCGCCCTTATATCTCCGCCTTCTCTCTCTGCAGGAAACTCGATTTCCTACTTCTGCACACGAAGTTTCTACCTCCAGATCTGACTGCTTCTGTTGCTGAGAGGGCACCTGGAAGAAACCACCCCGGTGAGCGGTGGGTTTCTGTGCATGACTTTGGGGATCCAGGAAGCCAAGGCAGAGCTGCAACTGCAGGGCCAGGTGCACTCAGCCTGACCCTGTGGGAACAGACCGGAGAGGCAGGCGGGGAGGTGTCAGGTGCACCCGGGCTCGGGGGGAGACCAGGCGACAGTGAGGCCAGGCAGGCAGGGCGTGCAGGGTGCAGCCTTCCCCGGGGCTGAGGTGACAGGGAAAAGTGGACTCCAGCAGCCATGGAGGCAGCCACTCTGCCAGTCTCCCAGCTCACTGTGCCTCCTGGGCAGGCAGGAGCTGGAGGAGCCTTCTGCCTGCATATATACGCCCCTGGCCCACATGGGCGGGAATTCAATGCCCTCACCCAGAATGGCCAAGGCTGTTCCTCCTGGAGGCAGTGTCCTTGGGGCTGAGCTCACCTGGGCCCGCAGGTGTCAGGCACTTGGCTAACTGCTGCACAGGTGCAGCAGCCTGCACAGGTGCAGGGCCCAGGTGAGTTCACACATGCCCATCTCTGTGTGCACCTGCAGCTGCAGCAGCCCTCGAGAAATGAGCACAGTGGGAGGCCGTGGGCAGCTGCAGCTCTCTTCCCCCACCTCCTTCAGAGGTCTTTACCTCCTGCTCTGCAGCAGTCCAGTCCCGTGGGGTGCAAGCCTGAGAAATGTGGGGATCCACAGCAAGACAGGCGGATAAGCTGTGGGATGATGAGGAAAAGTCCACTGTCACCGCCCGGGGAAATATGTTACCAACCACACCCTGTTGATGTTAGGGTTATAATAATAATCATTGTTATTACAAAGAGTCGTGAACTCATTCGGTGACCATTTTGTTTGTTTGTTTGTTTTTTTTTTTTTTTTTTTTTGGTACCAGGGATTGAACTCAGGTCCTTGCGTTTGCAAGGCAGGCCACCAAACCGCTGAGCTAAATCCCTGGCCCCTCGGTGACCATTTTTTAGCTCAATGAAATCATAAGAGCTGGAGACAGAAACATGGCTCAGACCTTGACCTTGAGGGGCTGAAGTGTGTGAACATAATGTGAGATGCAGGAGCTGTTATGATGTGAGAGCGACTGCACAGAGAAGGCAGAGTAATCTTCATAGAGAAGGGGAACAAGAGCAGGAGGTGTTGAAGGATGAATAGGAGCTCACCAGTCGTTTTTAGGCAGAGGGACAAATGGATAGAAAAGCAAAGAAGCATGAAGGAAAGGTGAATTTGGGGGACAGGAGAGAAGATGGCTGTGGGGCAAGCACAGCCCTGGGGATCTGAGACTCGATTAGAGAAGACACTGAAGGAAGGCCTGGAAACGCCAGGCGTTTGGGCGAGGTCTCTGAGACACAAGCCCCGGGGTCTGCTGAGGGCTCAGGCTGAGAAAAGCAGGCCTCTAGGGACCAGGCAGGAGGAAGTAACAGCAAGGCCAGGAGGTGCTGGGGACCAGTGGGAGGGGCGTGCGGGGCAGATCTGCTGCGCAGATCAGCCTCCCTCTCGGCCAGCCTTGGGGGTCGCTCAGCAGAGAGGAGCAGGGCTGGAGGTTTCACTGGCCTCAGGTCACAGCTCGGTGCTGAGGTGGGACTGGAACCCAGGTCTGGCCCCTCCTTCCCTAAAAAGCCATGGACCCGGGAAATGGCAGAGCCTGCTCCTCAGGCAATGCAGGGAAATGCAGTGACTAGGAAAAGGGGGTGCTGCGTTGGGGCTGTCAAGATTCCTACTGACTCCAGGGTCTGGAACAGAGCAGAGATCCTAAGGGCGCCTTATAAATCCCAACTAAATCCACGGGGAGACACACAGGTTCGACTCAGCGGAGGAGAACGGCGGAGTTTGAAGACAGCGCTAGGGCGGCCCCAGCATGCAGGGGAGACGCAGATGAGGCAAAGATAACAGAGCGGATGGCCGCAGGGGGTGCCAGGGCACGGAGATGTCGAGGGCAGTGCAGGAGACGCCAAGGAAGAGCACTAGTAAGCGGTCAGACGCGCGCTTCCTCCCAGAAACCAAGGGGCTTGAAAGGAAAAGAGCAAAAGGACGGAGTGGGAGCAAAGAGCAGGCGTCAGACACCGGCCTGCCCCGTAGTCTGGGCAGGAAAAGTCTGGGCCGGCGATGGCGGCAGGAAGCCAAGAGGGCCTCGGAATGCTTGGGGCCGCAAGCAACAGGACGTTTTTCTCAAATAATAAGTTAGACAATGAGCACTCTGAGGGTGAGCTTGGGACTCTGCCACGCTGGGTCTCTGTGGGGCTTCTCTCCGATCCTCTGGGTCTTGAGTTCATGCTGCCAAGCACCAGGTCCCTGAGAGCCAAGCCGCAAAGCAGCAGGCCAGGCGGGGCTCTGTGCGGGG